GAACCGACACGAACCTCCAATTCAATCCTCAACGAATCTTCGAACTCGTTCCTGTTTGATTCCGTATCGGTATCACCGCCTTTTCTATCGGAAGGATTAGTGTTAGCACAAATCTCTACATGTTCAGATACCTCCCCTTCGGTCCTATAAGGAGCATCACAAATCGGACACTCCAACATATCTAAGGTGAACCCGTTTTTTGGATACCTTGCTAGAAGTGATCAATGAACCATAAGGATCAAACCTGGTTTCCGGTTTCCGAGTCGGTCCGACATCATCGGTCGAAGGCTTGTTCTGATCGGAATTCGTCAGCTTCGAGGGCAAAGAAGGCTTAGAATTTGATGAGGAAGAAGAAGACGATGATGGAAGAACAGGTTTCGGAGATGTCCGGATCGGGTTAACAGGTCCAGATGAGAAGAACCCAAGATTCGACCTTGGCCCTCAAAATTCCCGGATGATGAGAATTGGTCGTTGACTTTCTTCATGAATCCACTCCATTGTTCTTTCATAGCCATTGTTTTGTGTTTTCTGGGAATTATACTTTTGATTTGAAGCTCCAAAACTAAATAAGAATGATAACAATGATCAAATTCAATGATCAACAACAATAACGACGATGATACTAAAAATAACAAGGAATATAGATCACGAAACGAAGAATAGAGAAAAGGGTAATCAAGGAAGCAAACTAATCTCCATGAGATGGGGAAATTAGAAATCGATAAAAATTGTAATGACCAGAGAAAATCAATGATAAAGAAATATAAACAAGGCGGGAGTTTTGTGTTTGTAACAATAGTTCCTTGGAAGATCACAAGAGAGTTCAGACAAGACTTTGGCTTTTTGTCGATGCTTGATCTTAAAATCCTTAATCGTTAAGAACAGAGATATTGTTATTGCCAGTTGGAATTGTTAAAAGATTAGATAAATTACGTGTTTAATACATAGACTTTTAATTTTTTTCAAAACTATATCTAAAGTTTAGTTTTTATTTCATTTTAGTATCTGCCATTAAAAAAATTAATTTTTATTTCATTTTATAACCTAGTTCAAAATTTAACGTTAAGTTTTGAAAATATTGAAAGTTTAAGTACTAAAATGGACTAAAACTGAAACGCGTTAAGTTTGTAATGACGGGTACTAAAATAAAATGAAAACTAAACGTTACGTATATTTTATAAAAATTGAAAGTTTAGATACTAAAACATACCAAAATTAATATTTTAAGTACTAAATACGCAGTTTACCCTAAAAGATTCCAACGATTCACACTAACGACCTCGAATTCACTAATTCAACCAATTACATTGCACCACGTATACGTGCCTTACTTACCCTAGTTGTAAGGCTCAATTCATTTATTTCTTTATATCTATCGATATCCGATCTATTGATCGATTAATCTGAATCAAATATTACAAAAGCAAGGGCAACCCTTCCAACCCAGCTTGCTCCATTCACAATCATCAGGTTTCAAACCACTAACCTTACTTAAAAGAATCTAATACCTCATCCCATTTAGACTAACCCGTTGTCAGTTTGGCTCAGTCCATTTTCAATTGAAAATTTTAGTTAAATATAGACAAATATTTTTTTATTAAAGTATAGACAAATTCTTTAATGTTTATATTATGTATATATTTTAAAATTTAGAAATAGTCTATTGATTAAATTTAATTCGATTGACGTCATTATCAATACATTACACATGCTATCGAACATGTTTAAACCCTCATTATCCAACTATTTATGAGCAAGAACACCCTGGATAGTATAATTATTATATAAAAAAGGTAAATTATGCATTTAATGCCTAAATTATTAGTTTTGAACCATTTTAGTATCTAATTTTTCAATTTTTCAATACCTAACGTTTAATTTTTATTCTATTTTAGTACACCACCTTTAAAAACTTAACGCATTTAGTACTTAAACTATCAACTTTGATATTTTTAGTACCTAAACTTTCAATCTTTTTAAAATTTAACATTAAATTTTGAACGAGATACTAAAATGAAACAAAAATTAAAGTTTTTAAAGGCGAATACTAAAATGAAACAAAAACTAAACGTTAGGTATGATTTTGAAAAAATATAAAAGTTTAAGTACTAAAACAGACCAAAACTGATAGTTTAGGTACTAAACGCATAATTTACCCTATAAAAAATAGGGGGGGGGGGTTCCTATCAGATTTAATTTAGACTTCAAATGTTGAAGTTAAAGCCTAAACATAATGCCAAGCCTAATTGAGTTTACAATCCGATGAAAAAGCCATTGTACCGAGAAATTCATGCCAACATTCGCAGTATTCCACACGGTTCTATCGCAACTTGTAGGATCCGTCGAAGTTCTTTCACCATCCACCCTTGGCAAACCAGTAATACTAGAAGTATTAACCGAATAAAGATCGATTTTGCCTTTCTTCCAGCATATGGCTAGCCAGAAACACCATTTTCATTCCTTCATTGGCGAACTGGTTAGTAGTTCGGGGTTCAAACATTTCCTCGAACCGATGGGCAATCGAGCAAATATCATTCATATATAAAGGGATTAACTAAGTTTACCGGAATAATGCAGGCAACTGGAAGGGATTTTCGTTCCTTCCTGAAAGCACTGAGTTCAAACAGGGTCAGAAGCTTCAAAAGTCATCATGATTCGTGAATGGAGGATCACAAGGTACAAGAAGATACAGCAATTAGTAAAGAACTCAGAACTCGTGCAAACAGAAAAGTTCACCCATGGACTGAGGTATGAAAATAATGAGCTTACGGATAAAGACTTAAAGCTAAATCGGTGACAGACGAAAGGCACCATCTTCATTCAAGAATGAACAACTATAGTCTATAGCAAGGGAGCATCAGCTAGAACAAAAGGCTAAAGAAAGTCATTTCCTAGCGGCAAATGCATATTTCGAACATTTCTTAGGGCAACTAATGTAGAGAGCTATAGATGAGTATTTGATTGTGTCGATTCGATCACCAACAAGCCTTGCGTAGTTAAATCCTAGAAGATAATCAACTTGTTCTAATTGATATTGCAGGGCCATGGAGAAGGAAATTAGTAATGCCTAAATCTCAACTCCATAAGCAGTTCTCAGTATTGGAGCAATAGCAGTAATTTGAAATGAACATTACCTTTCTTTTTTAATCAAATCAGAAATTGAAAAACAGAGATGCAATGATAATGTCATATAATTGTCGTAAGATAAGCACTCCAAATCATCCAAACACATCCGTGAGGAAATTCAAACAAAAGATTATTGAAAAAGAAAATAAGAAGTAGGCCAAATACAACAGATCTAAAGTTCACATCACTTATCTCAATCGCGATTCTTAAGCTTCTCGAGTCGCTGGTTCAACTGCTCGATTTTAACAAGAAGGCTGGTAACAGAGAAAAGGAGCCAGTACAGAATAAGGGCGGCGGCGATGAGAAGCGCGTTGCGTTGGCTCTTCATGATGGACTTCTGGTGACGGAGATATTCGGAAGGTGTGCATGACTCGGCGTCACAGCTGGGTCGCGTCTCGTATTTCCAGTATATGTCCATGAGGAGGAAGAGGCAGAAAGGAACCACCGACAGGAACGGTTTCAGGAGGTTACGCGTGACGGCGATCAAGCCCTTGCGGAGCCGACGAGGCCTGGAACTGTGAGGAGGAGCAACATGATGGCTTCGGCGCCGGCAGTGTAGCCTAGCACTACCCATTCTAGAGCCATTTTGCGTGAAAATAGCAAAAAAATTGTTGAATCTGATTTAGGTTTTGATTTTTTGGAGCTATGAGGGGGGAGCTTTGAATGTGCTTTGCTTAGAGGAGGAAAGTGGAGAACCGGTTTATTTTATTTTTATTTTCGGTAAAGTATATGAATGGTCCTCCAACTATAAGTGTTGTTTTATTGACTCCTTCAATTATTAAAATTTACAAAATGGTCCTCATACTAGAAGATGTTGCTCTTTTAAATACACTTATTATTAAAAGTTACAAAATGATCCACTAACTATTCATTGTGTTCCAAGCTTGTCCTTTTCTATTAAAAATTGATGGCAGTTTGAGTTGTACGTTAACTTACTGACTGAGACATGATATAATATGAACATAGAATCTCCAACAACTATCATATTTCAATCAATAGGTTAACGTCCAACTCAAACTACTATCAAATTTTTAACAAAAAATGATTAGTTTGTAACGCAATGAATGAATAGTTGAGTGATCATTTTATAACTTTTAATAGTCAGATGACTTAAAAAAATAGCATCCTATAGTCAGAGGACTATTTTATAAATTTTAATAGTTAAAAAACTTAATAAAGTAATATTCTATAGTCGAGGGACCATTTATGTAATTTACCCTTTTATTTATTATTTTTAATGGAACGAGGGACATGTGGGATCATGTTACTGGTGGCCAATAATAAGTAATTGGGATTTTATCTTTGGTGTAATTCCATTAAGAATCCCCAAGCTATTGAATAGATTTTAAATTGGTCCTCAATCTCAAAATATTTTAATGGAATCCCTTAATGATTCAGTATTGTATTAATCAAGTTCATTGGTTAATCTCCTCGTCGAATATAGGTAATAAGAATACATAATGGGATAGGATCATGTTACACAATGTCAAACTCTTTTAGTGTTACACAGTTTTAAGACCGTTAGATGAGTGAAAACAGATGGTTGATATTAACAATAGAAAATGTGAAGATATTTATACGAAAAAAGGAGTCAATCTCAGCCATCTATTTTCACTCATCCAACAATCCTAAATCTGTGTAAAACTAAAGAGTTTTTCATCGTGTAAGTGGATCATGACCCATACATAATTGATATAATATTCATACTTTAAAATTTAAAGTAGACTATTGCGAAGTTTGCAAAGTAATTTATAACATCGACTATAACTTGAGGGTGTCTAGAACAATTCACCCTATTTTTTTTTCAACTCAAATTTAATTCATATATTGCTCTCTATAATTTAAAAATATAGAACTCCTTAACACGAACAATGTTGAACATGGTAATTCATGCTTATTTAATATGAAATAAACTACATCTTCAAATCCATTGACAGGTAGATGCATTTCCTTCTGCCATTACTATATGTAAAATGAAATAAAACCAGATAATTTTATCAAATCTTTTCGATAAAATCGATCGAACCAAATCGACTCGAATCGGACCCAGGAAGCATGTTTTATATCCAATCCCAACTGCATAAAATACAAAAAATAAAAATAAAAATAAAAATCAATGAACTAAATTAAAAAAGTGATGATATTAGGGTATTATTACCATCTATCTTTGTGTGGTTTTCTGTCCCTCTCCATACGTTCAAACAAGCTTCCATCATAAACGCCCTTAACTATCTCTTTCCTCAGCAATCCACGCTCGTCCTTGCAAAGATTGTATAATGTCATCCACTCCGTCCAGCTTCCGATCCTGCGATCCGGCAAAAGATCGTTCCGAGATTCGGATTTCGTCGTCAAAATTAGAAACCCGACTTTCTATATATGTTATGTGCATGTAACTTAGGGACTTTAAGTAATTATATGTACCATCCTTTGAAGTCCCCTGATTCCCTGTTGGACCTGATCATTGCCAAGAGTTCACCGGACGTCAAGGCACTCCCATGCATACGGGCGAATTTGCTGAAGATTTCTTCGAACTTCAACTCTACGAATCTAGCGTATAATAATAACTCGAAATTAGATACGAGTATCATAAATTATTCATCGATAATACATAAAATCATACCTTTGCATGAACCGATAACTGATTATCGAGTCTCATACAAATTATTATCTGATTTACCTTCCATCACTGTCATATACACCAGAATCACTGCCATGTTTTGCCAAGTGGATGTTCTTGACCTCAATCGGAAAGACCGGAGAAGGATATTTCCCCTGCACACACACACACACATATATGTAGTATATAACTATATATATATAAAGACAATATATTATATCTTACGGGACGAGTTTTGCCACTGAGAGCAAAGTGAATGAGGAAAGCGCCGGTCATGGAGGTGAAATAACTGGCCCCGATTGCTCGAAGACCTTCAAAAGTCTCCCATGGATACACGACGCCATCATTGTTTCTGTCGAAGAACGAAACATGTTTTTCCAGAACGGTTAGGTCTGAATCATTACGCCCTAAATCATCAACTCCTGCATGAATTCCCACAGTTACTCATCTGAATTTCACGAATAAAAAGCTGCATCTATGATCTATGATCTATATATATAATCACTACCCTGTAGAAGATCTTTTGATGACAAAGAAGAAGCCATGGTCGGGGTGTCTATGAAACTGAGATCTTTGGCAGATAAGAAGAGAAACTACAAGAACTGATAACAGAAACTTAGACAACGAAATAATGGAAACCCTAATGAGTGCAGAATAGTGAGCAGCTATGGCGAATGTTTATTACAGTGAAGACTCAGGTAAGGTTTTAACAGCTATTTATACTGGGAATAGAAGCCTGATCAAGACTGCTTTGTTGAGTGTAAAGCTTCCAAAACGAAACGTTAAAGCAAAAAAAAAAAAGTTCATTTTCTCGACAATTTCTTTCGGGTTTTGGTAGATTATGTGTGATGTTTTATGTAATTTTTAGGTGTATAAGTATAAGGGTAAAGTACACAAATGGTCCCCCGACTATAGGGTATTACTTTGATTATAGAATGTTGTTTTATTAAGTCCATCAACTATTAAAAGTTACAAAATAGTTATCTGACTATTCATTATGTCTCAAACTCATCATTTTCCTTAAAAAAATGGTGATTGTCTAAGCTGGTCGTTAATATAATGATTGAGATATGATAGTCGGTTGAAATTATAGGGTCAGATTTTATCATATCACAGTTAGCATATTAATGTTTAGCTCACAATACCATCAAATTTTTAACAGAAAATGACGAGTTTGGAACATAATGAACAGTCGGGTGACCATTTTGTAACTTTCAATAGTCGAGGGACACAATACTCTATAGTCAGATGATCATTTTGTAACTTTTAATAGTTGATGGACTTAATAAAACAATACCCTATAGTCGAGGGATCATTTGTGTACTTTACCCTAAGTATAAATATGATTAAAATTATTGAAGTATCCAAAATTTTAGATATATTTATGATATATACTACATATAGTTAAAATTAAATTCATTTTAATTGTACACAATCGTCTAATATATTAATGGTGTATAGAAAATTATACATTATGAGTACATCAAATATTTACCTACATATATATATATATATTAAGATAATTGTTGGATATAATAAATTTCAGATAATTCATGTTATTAAAATAAAGTGATTATAAAGTAATATATGTTATAAATATTTTCAATTATTTGATAATGAACGTTCAATTACCTTACAGTAGTAGTTGGTGCTCGAATTCATGATCTCTAGGAATAACAACAATTCTTTTAGCCAGTGAGATAAGTTAGTTCGAGCACCATGTATCATGCTCGAATAGATAATTAAATGTTTTTGAAAAACAAATAGTTTGATGGAGTAAGATGGAATGAAAGGACCAAATGAGATAAAACGACATAGATAATCTTTGTTGACAAAATATGAAACGACAACCAAGGAAGCTGCTCCAGATGTGAACACAAGAAAGAAAAGAAAATGAAGGCCTTCGCTATTTGCCTTTGCTTTACAGCCACAAAGACAGCTCTACACGCTTTGTGCTCTTTGCCTTCACAGTTCTCCAATCAACTTTTGTTATCCATAATTAATTTATCTTAATTTTTTTTAAAATAAATATTATAAAAAATAAATTTAATGTAATTATTTGATTAATGATTTTCCGTCGTTGGCTGTTACGATGTTGATGTGACAGTTCACGATACTAACTGGCAGTTCACGGTGCTAACATGACAGCCTAGGCAGATAGATTAACGGGACGAATGACATGACATACAGACTAAATTGATTACTCTAACATGACAAATGAGTTTCCACGTCAATATTGTGGACCACCAGGTCAACACTGTGATCTGACACGCTGGTACTATGATAGTCAACGACGAAAAATATTGGTCAAAAGGTCACATTAGGTTTTTTTTTATGAATTGTAAGGTCACATAGAGAGGAAAAAATACTACGAGGGTCACATTCAAAAAATCCCCACATTGAGTTTATAATCTGAGTTGGATGACCACATTGAGAGAAAAAATAATACTCGGATCCACGACCTTCTCGAACTAAGATTCAGTCATTATTAAGACAAGATATAAATGTAAACACCATACTTGGAAGGAAAACACAGCTTTTATAGAACTCTTTTCTTCAAGCCACAGATAAGGGTTATCGGAATGTTTGAGTTCAAAGACTTGTAAATCAGAAATTATGGAAGAAACTACGCAAAAACATGCACATGACATAAGCTGTCCAAAAGAGGAAGCTTCTGAATGAAAATGGAACTGTGGTTTAAGCATTGTTGGAAATAATAAACTTTGATGGTACAATTTTCTCATTATCAAAGAGAAAGCACATACATAGAAGGAATACAACACTTATCTCAAACCCGTAAAGATTCCGACCTCAGTGTTGTCCTCCGATACGACCTAAATTACATCAAATGGAAACGAAAAAAAACGAGGAAACAAGAGAAAAACGAAATGCTCTCGCCAAATAAGATTCGATATTAGCACAGTCCTACAGTTTTTGAAGGTCATCAACTTCGTTAGGAAGTTTCATTTTATTTCACCGCCATTGGCATTTTTGTGCTTAGCCGGTTGCTGGAATGACCTAGTGTATGTATTTTCTTATATACATAATGTTCACATACAACTACAGTGATTTCAAAAGATGCAACACTTCAATGCTAAACCCCTTTGCTCGACCCTTGCCTCGTCATTGCCTAGGAAAATATTATCACGGTTTAATGTTTACATAACAAGCATCAAAGCGAGAACGTTTAGGCACTGAAGAATCAATATATCACAAATAATACAATCGATCTATATGCGAATAACCATAATCTATAATTCCATGCAACAACCAATACTTTATATAGTACGATTCGACAATCCTCAATAACTAAACTCATTTCAGAAAAGAGACAAGCTTAAGACATGAATACGAATAAATTATAAGATCTACACACCTTCAGGAGGCTGAGCTAGCTTCCTGTTCTGTGGAGACATCATTTCTTTCTTCAGCTGAGTCAATATATCCTCCATTGTATACTCCCTTTGCCAATTAGCAAGCATGGGGAAAAGGCTAGGTTCAACCTGGCAGTTTACCAAACCTATAAGTATCATATTGTAAAGTAAAAGGTTGTGAGAAAAACATCGCCTACCACTCCGGTTTCCTGATTTAGACAGGTCATATTTATCCGTGATTGAAACCTCACACTTGGTGGATTATCTGGATAATCCTTGCCACAAAACAGTTTCAATTGGTATATGCGTCCTTCATGAACAGTCTAGCACGCATAAAGAATTAAGCAAGATATCAACTCAGTAGGTGGATTAAGAGGAATCATTATTAGTTACATTTTCCAAAGCAATGGTAGCTTCATTAAAGTTGCACAGGACAGAATAATAGTTAACAAACCAATTTTCTTTATTTCATCGCGTCTTCTGGTGCATGCGTAACCAAAATGTTCTCCTTACATTTTAAGAAATCCTATCAATATATGATAACCCTTTTCTTCTCTATAAGAACCAATTAACCAAATGACCTGCAGCATTGAACGAAAAGTCCTTTGATCTAATCCTATCTTTTGCACTCAACTAGGCCTCTGAAATTACTAAGGTTGAGACTGTTTGATGAGTAAGCAGATATGTCATAAATAAAGGGATAATTCATAATAATGATATGCTGATGACATTTCAGCATGTTTCTTTCATTAACTAAAACAATTTTTTTTTCTTTTAGAAAGAAAAGGAAAAAACATTGTCTATTCTTGCAATTTATTCGACGCATGCTACAAGTACAGATCAGCTTCAAAGTTTGGATGGTAGAAAAATTCATTAATCAACTGTCGCAAAAAGTACTAAGAAATTTCATCTTTTTATAAAAAAAATTGTAAATGTGAAAGACACTATTCCCTTCTCATATCTTTCAACAAGTTATAATGACCACCTTATGGTTGAAAAATGGTCAGTCAATTGCATATAACCCTGTGGTGAAAAAATAATGGTTAACTACTTAGTAGGTCTCCGTTCTATAGGTTGACGAGAAAACTAGTCTCTCGACTAAAAGTCAAGAGACACAAGTGCACCAACTGCCAATTAGAAGAGACAGAGAGAGAGAGACTCACGTTAGGAGGGCCAATAATAGTCCCAGTCCATGACTGCATGTATATATCATCAGCATCGTCCATCCCATAGCTAACAGTTCCATTGCCAATTCCCTTTTCGCCCCTCTCAAGCTCTTCTAGCAATCTGAAATTCCTGGGCACTGCAAGAAACAGACATTTTTGTCCCTAGTCAGAATTGATGACAAAGTCAAACGTGAAGTTTGTATGAAGTCCATCTTAAATAAATGCAGCTTCCAAAGATATTAAAAACAAAGCTTACTTCAACAACGAAAGGTAAAAATACTAAGACTAATGCTTGCATATCATGTCAAATAATTCAAAAGAACCAACAAAATCCCAGAAATAACTGAAGTAATCACAATAGCATACACAATGATTAATCACTCATTAACCATGAATGAGCACAAAAACTAGATATAGAAACAGAACTGCTTTCCCTCAATAAACAGCATAAGTTTGGTTCCATTATTTAAATACATTTGTACCAATATTGTCACTCAATCAATGACAAGTATTTTACAGCAACATCGGAATTCGGAAGTTGAAGGAATATCCACTCAAGTCTCAAGTTGGCGTCTCAAAGTGATTGCACCGGAAGCTTCCCAAAATCAAATACCACAACTTGATGTGCTAGAAGGCCTTTATACCAAGTTTCACTTCACAATTGCCGAAAGAGGTGATCCTTAATGGCCAAAGGGGTATGCAATGAGATATTGAGATGGCTGAGGAGAAAGTAAAAACATGATTTGAGAACCATTGAAGGAAAATTTTAAGGCCCAAAAATGCCGTGAAGAAAGTCCCCTTGCTTTCCGTGGCTACAGTCTTAGTTTCCCCTATAAATAAGATCATATGTCTCTCCATTGTTAGACTAAACATCTTCATCAAGCATCACACTCACCAGATAAACAGGAAAGTCAAGTCATCTACTGAAACTGTAAAGTCGTGCTAGCAGGGTGAACAAAATCTTAAGTTTTCCACTTATTTAATTTGTTCAATTATAACATACTTGACCAGAATCCATCAACCAATTAGAAAGCAGATAACAACTAGCCCTGAAACACGCAGTCAACTTTCATCAACACAAACAAGAGATTAGGAAATCATTGGTTTCCGGAATAGCAAGTTGATAAGAAATCTTCTGATACATTTTGTGCTTTTGTCTCGATTAACCATCACATGCTCATCAAGACGAGTTCTCAAAGCTTCTCAAGGTCAGCAGTTATGATATGAACATTTACGTGATCAATGATGGTCTCCTAGATCCTATGGGTCATTGTCTTCTTCTAACTTTAACAAATCATCAACAAATCCCTTCAGAAGTGGATCAACAGTCTTTATGTATAAAATGAGTAAAAGAAAAATGTAACTTCAAAGTTAGCACAGTCCAAGCATTGGTATTCTTCACTTGATCTAAATATTTCATGAATATTTCTATTATTTCAGCTCTATCTCACGCAGGGCATAAAACCCATAAAAATTTAAAACTCTTGTAAAAATTTCACTACCAGAGCCTATACAATTCTCACCTTGAATATCAAACCAAGCACAAAAAATCCATTTTCAAACATTTAGAACCAATAACTTTTAACTAAACAAAAGAACATTATCAAAACTAAAACTCTATTTCTACCAATTCAAAGGATCACCACTTCCCTATGGAAACCCCCCCCCCCCCCAAAAGATGCATATGCATTCAAAGCTCCATCAACAACAGAAAAAAAGGGGGGAAATTTGAGTGACAAATAAGGGAAATCTAGGGCTTTTCCAATCGAAAACTTACCAACAACACTTGATCCTTCTGTACCCATTTCTTCTTTCGATCTTCCCGATTCAAAGGGGGGAAAGAAAGAACAACAGTTTCAGTATCCGTCTTTTGATGTGTGTTTAGATCAAGATGTGTGTTTAGATCAAGATGATGGCCGGGTAATGTTTTATTATTAATAGTAGATTTTTTGGGTATATTATCTCTATTCTCTTAGGTATTGTAATATTATCGGCGTTTTAAATTAAAATACCTTTAAATTTTTATTTTTTTAAAAAAATAATCTTCTTCTTCTGTTATTGAATAATAAAAATTTTATAAAGGTTAAATTATAAATTTATCCTTAAATTATTTTAGATTTATAAAAAAAATTTATAATTAAAATTTTATATGAAATTTAGAGGTTAAAAACAATTTTAACATTTCATTAAATCTTTTTTATATTTTTAATTTTGTAAAAAAATTATATAAATATTATGAATTTAATTTTTTAAAGAAAATATATAAATATTTTACAATTTGTAATATTATACAAATATATAATAAGGACAATTTGGTTAAATATACATTCAAATAATCTTTTATTCCTTTAACTAAATACGGTAATCTTACATTCCTGCTAAACCAACCAAACACAAAATATAACATTCTCAGTAATCCTATTTCATGGTAATCTTTTATTCTCACTGGTAATCTTATATTCCGTGAACCAAACGCACTCTTAGGGTCTGTTTGTTTCCCGTAATTCGAATTACGGAATTGGTTTTCCCCGAATTCCAGTGTTTGTTTCACGTAATTCGTTTTCCGGAAAATGTTTTCCCGTGTTTGTTTCACGTAATTCGTTTTCCGGAAAACGTTTTCCCGTGTTTGTTTCACGTAATTCGTTTTCCGGAATGTAATTCATTTTCCTAGTAACAGGATTTCCTTTGTGTTTTCTGTAAAATGACTTACGGATTCATTTTTCGTAAGTCATTTTCCGAACTTTTCACTTCAAAGCAAAAATACTCAAAATAATTTTATTTTATGAATTTAATATTAATAAAATATTTTAATATCATTTTCATCAAAATATTAATTATTAAAATATTTAAAATATATTTATTAATATTTATAATAATATTATATTATATTTTTAATATTATAAAATAATCAATTATATTATATAATATAAGATATTTTATTTTATTTTAATAATATATAATACAGTTTTTATATATTTAATAATGAATAATATTATTTATATATTTCAATAATATTTTAGTAAAGATATTTAAAATATACTAATTAATATTTTTAAAATATAATATAGCATTATTACTTTAATAAATAATGTTTAAATAATATTATTTATTATATTTAATATTTGTAATAAATAAATTTTAAAAAACTCTTCAACTAGTGAAAAAAATGTTTAAATAACATCTTCCAAACATCATAAAACGTTTTTCAGATGTTTTCCAGAAATGTAATTCATTTTCCAGAAATGTAATTCATTTTCCAGAATTCAAATTCCAGTAATTCAAACTCCAATAATTCATTTTCCGGAAAACCAATTACAGCCAAACAAACAGACCCTTAGTGTACTTTACCTAGTAGCATTTTTATTATAAAAAATGCCATTTTTTTATTTATATTTTACCTTTATCTTTATGTTTTTAATTTCTATTTTACTTTGTCTATGTGTTTTCCATTTTTAGAAAATAAAATTTAGAGTGACACCCGAAAGTACTAATATATTTAACCTAAGAAATTTGTGAGGACCCCAAATGTTTCGTGGAATTATGTGATTTTTTTAAAGATGAAATTAAAAGTCAAAAATACTTCATAAGTCCATAAACTTTGAAAAAAATTAATATGACCCTCTTATTATTTTTTTCTTTTATTATGACTCTCCATATCAGAAAACAAATTCAAGGTGACCCTTTGACCAATGTTTTCTGTCTTTGATCGTTACGATACTGACGCGATAGTTCATAGTGTTGATATGGTAATCTACAGTGCTTGACATGGTTTGAGTTACTAATTTAGCCCATCTACCATGTTATCTGTCATGTTGTCAACTACTGTGTACTATCATGTCTGCATCGTAGACCGAAACGTCAGCACCATGAACTGTCACGTCTGCATTATAACGGTTAACGATAAAAAAATATTGGTCAAATAGTCATATTAGGTTTATTTCCTGAGTTTAAGGATTGTATTGATTTTTTTAAAAAAAAGTACAGAGATCTCTCATGTCTTTTTGTTAAATTAAAATTAAATGGTATAAAAAATATTTTTTATTTAATTTTATTTTATGATTTCTATTAAAAAATAGTTTTATGATTTTTATGCATTCATTACTTTAAATTTAATAAGATAATTTTTAAGTTTAAATAGAGAATAAACACACAAATTTAAATTCATAAAAAAATAATACTATTAGTTTTAAAATTTATTTATTTAACTTTGTCTTATAACATTTGTTTAAAAATTTTTGATAGGATTTGAAATAAACAATTTTTATATGAAAAATAAAATAATTTGAATAATTTCTTATAACAAGTTTAAATTATTTTAATTTGAATAATTATATTTTTTATTTTTATATGATTTGAAACAAATAACTTTTATATGAAAAATAAAAAAAAATCAAATTATAAAATTATATATTTATATTAAATAGTAAAATAATTTGAATCAAATTAAATTGCTAAATTTCTTTAATAAACTGATTCTTTTATAAAAAAATATCTGACATATATTCAAATTCAAATTTATATGTACAAAAATAATCTAAAATAAAAAAATCCAATAATGGAGACTCAACAGCTAAACACAAAAGGATGCCCTATCAGCTTATCAACAGTGTAACGTCGTTTAGGATCCAAATCAAAGCACTTGTTCAAGAAATCCGTTCCGGCCACCGACATATCTCGGGGTACATCCGGTACATCCCTCGAGCAATCACTCGTCGTCGCCGAGTCTTCCGAATCGATCACCAGACGTTCCCACGGATGTAATCCGGTCATCATCTCCCTAACAACGCACCCTAAAGACCATACATCCAAAGCAGCACTGATTTCTCCATGCTTCACAGATTCCGGCGACATGTAAGGCGCGGTACCCTGAACACAACCCCGACCCGGCTTCCGGTCTTGTTCGCCGGGCTCCTTGGCCGAGCCGAAATCAGCCAACTTCAAATTAAAACGAGAACCAGATTCGTCCAATGGATAAACAAGAATGTTTTCTGGTTTGATATCACAATGCACGTAACCTTTCTGGTGAACATAGTAAAGCCCTTCGAGTATCATCTTCGTGTAACGTCGAACCTCAGATTCCGGTATTCTACCGCCGTATCTACCGATCAAATCGAGGAGGCTCCCGCCGGAGGCATACTCGAGAAACACGTTATCATATTCAACCTCGAGTTCATCGATGCTCAAAAACCGATCACCGTGGCATTGAACGATACTGGGGAAACCGATAAACTCTCGAAGGATCCGGTATTCCTTTCGAAGCGAAGAACTCGGTGACGGCGAAGATTTAACAGCGAGTAACCTCGGAACACCCTTTACCGTCTTCACCAAGTCTACAACCGCAAAGCTTCCCTCGCCGATGCTCTTCACTTTGACAAATTCCAGGTTCGGACTAATACAAAATGGTCCTCTTGGCTTGGACTGATCCATTGTTATGCTCTGTATAGAATTATCGAAACCATAACGTAAAGGCGATGACACAGATTAAAGAAATATTTAGGGTTTCTGAAACTCTTAATCGAATGAGAATGGTGAGTTAAGTGGGTGTGTATATAACATATTTTAGTCCAAGTTAGACTCTAATTTCACCTCTCAATTATCCTATTTAGATTAGAAAAACTAGTTCTTTTTGTGTATTGTGCACGTAAAATTAATTATATTAAATAAACTTAGTATGTATATGTTGCATGTCGTATTTATTAATTAATTATGTAAATATAAATTAAAAAAATAAATGTATCAAAAGCATTACTACAGGAACACACGTTTATTATGTTAATTATATTTAATACAAATGAATTTACAAAATTATTTTTGTGTTTCTTCATTATAGTTAAATTTACAACGGCTCTCACTCTCTCTCCCTCAGTTCATCTCTAGTTGCATACTGTTGGTAGAGAATGTACATCGAATATTTTTATTGAATAAGTTAAGTAAAACAAATTAAAATTATATAGAATAAGTCTTAATTCGATTGATATCGTTTCGATGATAATATACATACGATAATACACAGAAGAAACATGAAGTTGGCACACTCAAATCGTAGTGTATCTTCATTAATGATTCAGTATGGGGTTAGAACATGGGGGCCCTTAGAGGGACACCTTTTCTAGAATGCCTTAGCCTCGGCTTCTTTGTTAACGTCCGACGTAGAACAAATCTACCCTCTTCATCTTCATCTTCATCTTTGACACAGTACAGTTCATTGTGTCTGTAAATATTTAAAACCTTGCAAGCTATACTGCAATACAGTGAATTATCCTGTAGACTTTTGTCACAAATGGTGCAGCAATAATCCCTCGGATTGCTTTGCTGCTGCTGCTGTTGCTGTTGATGATGATAATGATGATTATGAACGAGTCCTTTGCTCCAAGAACAGCACTTTGGCTTTATTCGTATGATAAGTCTTCCATTGCCACCAGGGTTTCAAATTTCGGTCGCGGTCGCGTTTTCGGTTATTTCGGATATACCGTGATTACGGCCGTCGCGAGCGCTATTGCGACCGTCGCATGTAACTCGAACGGTGGTAAAACTGCTAAATCACGGCCGAAATCACAGTCGTTGACCGGTTTTTAAAACCCTAATTGCCACAACAGCGCGATGAGTATCGTAATTAAATGGTCAGTAAAAATCTTAATTTTTGTAGCGAGAAACTGACCTGAATCCCGGAACAATTGAAGAGCTTACACAAATCTTGTCGGTTGATCACGTCGCTGTAGAAGAAGAAGAAGAAGAAGAACACCTTGACGTGCTTGTGAAGAGCATGAGAGGGAAGGCAATGAGAACAAAACGAGTGAACACAGTCGATGCAGAACCGATCCAACTCGTTCTTCTTTGCATTTGGATGAGCAACGCAGTTTCTGAAGAATTCTGTGTTATACATGACGATTATCCATGGCGGCACCACCGCAAGGCTCTTCTGCAAATACCCTTATCGGGTATATATGTGCATATGCATGAAAACTGTTGGGAAATCTTCCATTTTTTTCCTTCCTCTTCCTCTTCCTCTTCCTCGGTTATTTAAATAAAATTTGGAATTCTTTAAAACAGTACAGCTTTGTATTAATAGCAACAAGCTGAAGCCATTTACTCCCTACACCAAAACGACATTAAATCTGTCACTTTCTTCAATGCGAATTTTCATTTGGTATAATTCTAAAAATAGCCCGCAACGTTTACCATAATGATTGTTTTGGCCCTTATTCTTTTTCTTAGAGCATTTTGACCCACAACACTTCACTTTGGGACAAAAAGCTCCCTCTATTGATCAAAACCATCGGTTAACACAATATTAACAATAGGGGTGAGTGTCGAGTCGAGTCAAAAATTCGAGTTACTCGAGTTTACGAGTCCTATTTTACAACTCGAAGTTGACTTAAAACTTTTTCGAGTCAATTTGAGTCGAATTTTTGAGTTTCTGTTGAAATTTAATTGTATATGTTTATAACATCATGATATTATTTTATTCCAATTTAATTGGTTTTTCATAACTATATATGTTCCTTCATATTTTTTTCATATATGGTATACATATATCGTACAGAGTTGAGGGACACGATACAAATTTGAAAATAAATCCATTAATTACTAAAAATTTCAAGTTACTATTCGAGTTGTATTTTACAACTCGATTTGAATTTGAAATTTTTCAGGACGAGGCGACTCAAAAAATCGATTTTTCAACTCAATTTGAGTTTTGTTCACCCCTAATTAACACTCCAAGATAGGAGTCTCTTTTAGCCTAAAATGAAACACTGAGGGCTTGACACCCTAGAAAAAATAATAGCAAATAAAGCGATTATTTTGTCAAATGATAAGAGTTTTTTTGTTCTAAAATGAAACGTTTGGAGCTAAGATCCTCCGAAAAATAGAATATGGATCAAAATGAACATTTCGATAAACGTTGGGACTTCTTTTTGGTATTATGCCTTTTCGTTTCCCCTTCCCTGCTTTTTATTGAGTAACGTAGTTTCAATTGCATGCATTTTCCACCTACCTCACGTAATCCTCATATTACGTACTATTATCCATATGTGGCTAAAATACTGTTGTTCCGTGTCATGATTTTCTTTTACGAGTAAAATAATCAAAAATGGATAAAGAAAAACACAAACACAAAAACACCCAAGATTTTAGTACCTGCGACAAAATCTAGAATTCGAGCCGATAATATAGTAAGGGTTAAGTTACACTTCTAGTGCTAAACTATTAGTTCCGGTTGGTTTTAATACCTAAATTTTTAATTTTTTTAAAAATTATATCTAAAATTTAGTTTTTGTTTTATTTTAGTATTTAGTTCAAAATTTAACGTTAAGTTTTAAAAAAATTAAAAGTTTAGGTATTAAAACGGACTAAAACTGATAGTTTAGGTACTAAACGAAAAATGACGAGTTTGGATTGGAACATCTTGAATAGTCGGGTGACCATTTTGTAACTTTTGATAGTTGAAGGACTCAACAAAGCAACACTTATAGTTGGAGGATCATTTTGTACTAAACATGTTAAATTTTTAACGACGAAATACTAAAATGAAACAAAAACTAAACGTTGGGTATGATTTCGAAAAAAAAATTAAAGTTTAAGTACTAAAAAGTATCAAAATTGATAGTTTAGGTATTAAATGTGTAGTTTACCCTAAAATAAGATCTAGGTAAACTAATACACAATAAAGTCAGCAAATAAGTTGTTATCCACCAAAGAAAAAGAACAATATTCCACATCAGTGTTTTGTTATCTAAACAACAACGGTTAACGGTCGAGTGATCAATTTGTTATAAAATGATAATATTAGTAATCAAATTGTTACTTTTAAAACATTAATGAGAAAAAGGGAATGTGTTCGAATTTCAGTGACCATTTATGTAGTTTATTCTAATGTTATTATATTTTTAATTTATTTATTCAATAAATTAACAACTACTATTAATTGAGAAAACTCCCTAGCATAACCGCTAACCATTAATAAGGTTGGTTTGATCTCATATCTTTATGTTCACATCTTTGATGACTTACTCGTCTATATAGGGTTGTGGGAAAATAATTTCTTCATATATAAGGTATCTACCATATTATTTTATGAACTAGGATTTTTTATTGGTCTGAAGAGGCCGTGCATTTCTGAGGTCTTCTCAATTTGTATGAAGATGCCATACATTCGTGGGGTCTTCTTCATTTACCTGAAGACGTCATGCAATCGTAGAGTCTTCATATTTAGCTTGAAGATGCGTATAGGGATGGGCATGGGACCCGAACCCGACCCGACTCGATTGGGTCGGGTTTTCTTTTAAAAAAACATAGTCGGTTTCGAGTTTAGGGGGGAAAATACCCGAACTGACCCGACCCGAAAAAATATATAAGTTTACCTTATATATTTAGGAATAATTACAATAATGCCCCTCTATATATAAAATTTTTCAATTAAGTCATTGTTTCTATTGAATAAAAATAATATTTTTATTATTATTTTGGGTCGGGTCTCGGATGGAGGCTCTCTTGTTCTCGGGTCGGGTCGGGTGGACAAAAAACCCAACCCAACTTAATCCATGCCCATCCCTAGACACGTGGAGCACCTGACGTCTTTAGTTTGATACTGTCCAATTCACCGTAGATAGAAAATAATCCTCAAAGTGAAACTATATTGAGAATTTTATCTATCCATTTCTCCCATCTTTGATACGATAAAATTCAAAATTTAAATCAAATTTCTATACAGATTTTTGTATCATTCAATGATTATTTCCCTACTTCCACCTTGCTATCCGAACCAATTGAATTTGGCCGACAAGATCATATCAATACAAAATCAACAATTGCAATGAGTTCGTCTTTAATTACCATCAAATCGACAAGATTTTTTAGCTTTTGTTTACGGTTAGTTTATGTATTCGATTTTTAAATTTCATTTATAAGTTAAAGAAAAATGATAAAATTATATCACTGATGCTTAAACTCGTTAAAATTCATAGTTTAAATTGTAACTTTTATCATGTGTTATATTTAATCCTTATCTTCACCGATATTTAAAATGTAAAAAGTAGAAGGAAAAGGAGAATCGGGTAAACGGGGTTGTTCACGAACATAAATGGACGAGTTGATAAACGAGCTTATTTGTGAACATAAACGAACCGAAAACATCTATGTTCGTGTTTATTTGTTTATTAAATGAACATAATTTTTTTGTTCATATTCGTTTATTTGGTTTAATAAACGAACATTATACGAATGATTCACGAACAGTTCACCGAACCCTTTGTTCCTTTACACCCTTGTTTCTCTCACACCCATCTGAACCAATCTATAAAACAGTTAAAATTCGAAGGTTTAATTCATTTGATTTATGTAAGTGACTAACCCAAACTCGTTTTTGAACACTAATAAATCTTGTTATTCGAATAACTTGAAATTTTTTATCCGATTGGTCAATATGA